CCTTCTTTTCCCCCCCCCCCCCCCCCCACCCTCATCAGCACCCCATTTCAAGACTTCTAGATACGCCACTGAGTTGAGCTCAGGGCTAAGCTTAGGCCTATTAGGGCCTATTTATATTCATAGAAACATGATGATTTTTATCGATGATTTCGATTCCGTTTGTTTCATTTATCTAAAATATCAGCTATAGTCAACGATACATTAAATCACGATTATTTTTTAGTTCACGTTCTTTCACAAAGTTTCACTAGTCTGTATTTGCTTGTAACGTTCGTGTGGGAATGCACACGTTGTAATTGTCACTATATTATGTCATAAATAAAGCTTTTAACATGACGTGTTAAATCTCGAGGCTCAATAGCACCATTTTTAATGTCCCATCTCCCATTAAACATCATTTGATGGTTTTCTATAGGCGAGTTACAATTAAATCAAAATATATCCAATAACGGCAAACTGAAAACCATATGATTATGTAACACGGGGATGGATTTATCTGACGACACTGATGGCATTATAGGCCTGCGTAATAATGTGCATTGAAACACAGTTGTCAACAACAAATCTGGAATAATGTACTATATTATTATACGCATTAGAATTTCATTGTAGTTGATATAGTGCATGCAAATACCTAATACACACAGACAAACACAAATATATATATATGTATATATATGTATGTATATATATGTATATATATATATATATATATACACTACATTGTATAACATATTATTATAATACGCATTAGAATTTCATTGTAGTTGATATACCTAATACACACAAACACAAACAATATATATGTGAGTGTGTATATATGTATGTATATATATGTATATGTATATGTATATATATATTAATTGTATATATATATATATATATTATATAGGCTTATGCGTGGTATAAATGGTATAATATGGCACATGATCGTACTGTACGGTATAATGGTATAATATGGCACATTTTTTTAGGTGCTTACTGTAAGTAGCAAAGTGATGATCCACCTTTACGCCTATTAAACACAGCAATTCCTTCAACCTTTTACGTTTTTATAGTCTTATATAAATATTTGTAAATAATATAGGCCTAATGTGTGTGTGTGATGCATCTACATATTTCTATATAGGCCTATATATTATAGTATATGGTTTGATTAAATTGGGAGGGCATAACATGTACCATACAGGCCTGTATGGTCTACTTAAGACCCCGACAATACAGGTGATATAGGAGAAGCAATGCACATAAAGTGCCTTGCTCAAGGACACAAGCAAAATGTGCAGTAGACTACAGCAAGGGGCTGAAACCCCGACCTCAAGCTTGGG